ATCTTATAACTAATATCTATGTACTCTGGATAAATGTTGTCAGGTTTTTGTTACATTTGAGAAAAAGTCTAGAGATGATGGAATATTGACTTCCAAAGAATGGGAGTGTAGAAAGATGCACCAAAGGCACAAGAACGGCTGTCAGTGTAATCAGTGTAAAAAAAACAACCAAACCTGACTTTGTTTTCTTTTAACTGTCCTGTGTATTTTTAATGCAAAGATTCTAGCAGAGGAAAACTGACCTTTGACCCTGAATGATGATAATCATTCTTGTTTATTCCAAACTGTTCCTAGAGCTTCCTGGCTCCAAATTCCCAATGAAAGTGGAGATGTCTATCAAGCTTCCTGTTTCACAACGGATTTGATAGCCTTGACTTAACGTCACTAACAACAAACATGGAGGATTAAGCTGAGCAGATGATTATAAAAAACAAAGCTTATTTATCTGCTTATTTAAAAGTAAATACTCTCCATTTGAGGGCAATTATGTTGCTTTGGAGTAGAGATGGTGTAAATGAGACTAACAACATGTGTTCTCTGTGAGGCCACTTTTAATCACATTGATCTATGCTACTGAAATACTATTGCTTTTAATGACAGGGAGAGAGTAGCATTTTCTCTGTGCTGACAAAGAAGTGATGGTTTCTACAGGTCAGTCAGTCCATGTGGTTGCTGCTGTCCCACAAACTGGACACAGAAAAAAATCCTGCAGAATAAGAAGCCTCAATATCTTGTTGCAGTGTTTAAAATTCACATATCACGCAGGTAAAAGTGTTTAAAATTCACATATCACGCAGGACAACGCAGTAGATCTAGGTTCTCCTTCGATCTGTTTAACATCAAGTGTTCAGGGTAAGATATTTTCAATGTTTAAACGGTTTTCTATTCTGACAGACTTCAGATGATGACCAGTAAACAGAGATATCAGCTGGAGGACATTTTAAAATGAGCTGTGGTCAGTGTTTTTTTCCAGTTGCTGTGCACATTGCCATGGGAATCTGTGACATTTGAGATGAAATAGGCAGCTGCTAAAGAGCACTGAGGCAGTGAGCTGTGACTCCCACGAGACAAACAGAACTCAAACTTAGACATCCTTGTTAGAAATGTAGGGTGTTCGAGAGGAAAACTGTGTTTTTGCAGCACAAGTCAGATTTTCTTACATCTGCACAGAAACCCAAAGGTATGAGAAGTTGTTGACATAGGATTTTTTTTTTCACTGCTCTTGGGGGAGTTTTAGGGATTTTTTCACTGCTCTTGGGGGAGTTTTATGTTTTCACTCCATTTTACATTAACCCTGTCATTTTTTAAAACATGAACATTTGTTTTTATGTATTTTTATATTTGCAGATATACATGTAGATCTGATATTAGAGCAGAAACAATGTGGGAATGAAATAATTCGTGTACTGAAAAGAAAAAAAACAAGAAGAAAATGAAGATGGAGAAGAAGGCGAAACATGAACAAAAACAATGTAGGAGAAAAACAAAAAGACAAATAAGAAGATGAAGAGGAAAAATCAAGTACAGAGGAAAAAAGAGTAAAGGAGAAGATGAAAAGGAAGAAAAATAGATAATTAAAGAAGAACAAACCACAAAAGAAGAATAAGAAAAAAGAGTAAAATGGGAAGGAGAAGATGAAAAATGAAGATGATGAAGGTGCATGGGGTGGAGAAGATAAAAGAAAAATGAACAAAAACAAGAAAAGGAGAAAATACCGTTAAGAAGGTAAAAGAAACATGAAAAAGAAAGAAACAAAGAAAACAAAGGGTTTTTGAAAAGAAAAAATAACCCTAAGACATATCACTTCAGAAAGTTACCTCAAACTCTGTTCCACTCCTGCAGGTACCACAATACCATGTGTACTAGAAGTGATGCCAAACGAGTTCTGGTTCTAGATACTTCACAGGCTCCACTTCCTAAAACAAGGCCATTATTCTGGTCATTCCTGACATTTGGACTGAAGACAGACAGGAGAGATGGAAGCAGACAGTTTGTCTGCCAAGAAGATGGAGCTGCATCTGAACTCAAAACCTTAAACACACTGTACCTGGATTGGCTTTTTGTAACCATGCCAACAGGATATTCTGCTGACAGGTTATTTAAAACCCTGTAACCATGAAGACCAGCCAGAACTGGATCATGATGTTTCTCACAGAGTTAGTCAGAATTTTTTGACAGGCCCGAGTTTTACTCCAGGAGAAAATAAGATGGACCAACCATTAAACACACTTCCTGTCACACTGCCTTCTGCCTGTGACTTCAGCTCAGCCCTGTCTGCTGACCACACTCACCTTTAGCCCTGCAGATCACACGTCAATCCTTTTAATTAGACACTGTCCAGCTGCATGGCCCGAACAGGACCAAAGAATTAACGGGGACCAGACTTGTTTAACAATACTTAGCAACATCTGCACCTTCAGCCTCCCACAGCTGATTCAAACCTGGGCTAATGATGATGTTTATTGGTCCTAGCAGCTTATTTTGACTTGTACATCACAGATACATGGCAGGGTGGTGACAGAGAGAAAAAATAAATATGGTGCCAGGCGGCAGAGAGGATGGTTCAAAATAGGCACCACCATCACATTTCACTCAATTTGGGAGAGGAAAATTATCATTGTATTTTCTCAATATTGTTACTGATATCTGTACCATTTATATCATCCATACATCTACACATCTTCTACAGCTAAGCCCTATTTAGGGTCACATGGCTCATGGAGTTTTCCCAGCAGTCACCACATAACACAGATGTAGAAATTGGACAGTTAATGGGCCACTAGGAATGTATAGTTGTATAGTTTTCCCTTTGTTGGGTCCATTTTCTATTTTTAATGGTCTGACATAATGGTAGGAAACACATACTGTTTCTGTGCCATTTTAAGCTATTGCTGCTATCGTTCACATTAGCTATGTTTAAGCACAGTCTTCCTATGTTTGAACATTTTCAGACATAACTAAGTTATTCTACATAAGACTATGTTTTGGTGATTAAATGGTCTATTAGCCAATAGTTAGCTGTAAGCATGGCTTTTATTTTAGCTGTTACTGTGTTTACTTCAGTATTTGTAAAGCGCTACATTTTATTAGCATGAACTTGTAGATTTTCTTCTTTTCACCCATGATGATTTGCCTTACCCCTTTATTTGTTTGAACCCCATTGTGTTGAAGAGCATTTGGCCTGGTTATAGGAATAAGACCGCTAAATCATTGGTTCAACAAAGATTAGCCCCAATTGCCCTCTCCACTCTTAGTAGGATAAAGCTAAAGTTGAGAGAATGCGTAAAATCCACTTGTTTAGGATAGAAAACGGGTGGCCATTTTTTTTCTCTTCCTAATCCTACTTGTAAAGTTTTGACCAACCTGTCTGCAGCCAAGGCCTCTTGTAGCACGAAGTGTCTCCAAGTCTCCGTTTGTGTGTGAGTGCACCTGCGAGCATAACTGACACAATGGCCACTAAAAACAAAGTAAATCATCTGAGCCATCTAGTGGTGGAACGCTATTCTGCAACACCGTACTGTCACTGTAATTTCAGAAAGGCGTTCAAATTACAAACTGTTTCCCAAACTATTGTTAATTCAGATGGTTGTCTCAGAGGTGGCACTTTACATAAAGACAGTTACTGTACATCTAACATACTGCCGTGTTTTGAGAAGGAAGAAGAGTGCACGTGAGCTGTGTAAAATATGGACAAAACATTTCACGTTTTGATAAAAATGTATTTTAAATACAAAACTACAATGTCTATTTACATAACACCACAAAAATATACATCACTGCAGCCTTTAGATTAGCACTTCAAAGGTCGTCCAGTATGAACAGTTTTCATCAGCTCATCATTTCTTGTCAAACTGAACAAAGTCTTACTGTCTGTTGACTAAATGTACAACTTCACAACCACCATGACAAAGTTTAGGAGGTGACCGTACAGACATCTGCAGCATCAGTTGAGGAGGGAGTCAGAGCAGGTGTCTCTGTAGAAACAACAGCAGCAGCAGGAGGAAGAGGAGGAGGAGGAGGAGAAGGATCTCCTAGGGTCTGTGTGGTGATGGAGGCTTCAAGTGATCGTACAGGAACAGGTTTGACGATCTTCATTGGAATGAACAGGTTGGAGGCAGAGTGCTCGCTCAGATATTCACCTCCTTTCTCTTCATAGTCCTGTCTGCTGATCCATCCTTCTGTACCTCCTCCCACTGGTGGATGCTCCAAGGCCCAGGCTTTCGCACCAAACCAGGAACCGAGGGCTGGCTGAGAGGCTAAGGTCACCTGAGGAGAGGTCACATCAGGGTTCAGAGTGACTTCAGATACACAAACAAGGTTCAGTATTTTCAGGATCAGAAAAAATGGTGGCATTTTTCCCCTCAGACCTTCAGCTTCTTTAACCTTTCTGCTTTTTAAATATTGATTCGAAAAGTGACATGTTCTGTACCGTGTGACACTGGGACTGTTGTAAAAGTAACAAATAAATGATTTATTTAATAATAATAATAAAAGCTGTACCTTGAATTGCGACTGGAAAGGTCTAACTGCCAGCAGTTCTCGCTCCAATCGCTCCTTCACACCAGGATACTGCATGTTGCCTCCCGTTAGAAAAATGTTGCTCACCAGTGCCTCCTGCTGCTCTGGAGTGTATCTGTGTTGAGGCAGATTAAACCAGATTAAACCAAGTCAAACCTGTTAAGATCTGTACTGTGCAACTTCAATCACAGCTAGAATGCAATATATAGCAACACAGGGCAACACTGTTCATGTGAGTCAGAGTTGTATTTGAATTTATGTAAGATTTCTACCATTCCTATTAACCTGGAGTTTTTTACTTTTAAAAATCTAAATATGTTTTTGTTTTTGTTGTGGCTGAATGTCTGAATGACAATGTAACCTGTGTTTTTACCTGGCCAGGACGTACTGCAGCGTCTCCATCAGTCCCATCTGATCCTCTCCAGTCAGAGACGGCTGGAACAGGATCTCAGGACAACGCAGGCGCTCTGTCCCTACAAACAGCTGATGGTACTCAGCCACGCTGAGCATAGGCTGGAGACAGAATAAAGGTTGTTTATAACAAAAATAACATTACTGACAGCAGTGTTTCAGCACAGGAGCAAAGTTAGTTTTACACTGCTCTGCAAAGAAGAACAATGTGAGGACAAAATGTGTCCTCACTCAACCTGGTGCAAATGAAAAGTGACAGATAAGTGTTTTCACAGCATTAATGAGGATCTAAATGTCTGCCCGGGAAGTTCCAGTTCCTCTGTGTCACTACCTGAGCCACATTAGCGGCTTTTTCTGGCAGCGTGTCCTCTGGAAAGTCAGGATCTATAAGAGCCACTCCGTCTCCCTCGTCTATGGGCTGCTCCAGCTCAGACACCTGGCAGAGGGGAAGAGAAGAGCCTCAGGCCTGATGTCAGCTGAAGTTCATCCGCTGCAGTAAATGATGACAGCTCCTCCACAGCTCCACAGCGTACTCGCAGTAATGACACTGAAGCTAATTATTTATTTAACCAGCTCAGTGGTTCCTATATTTAACATTACATTTTACACCGTGTAGATGTAAAGAACTACACAGTTGTTCAGTTTGACTACTTTGCACCCTCATTAGTAACTGACACACTTACGGCTCCTACAGAGCTGAGCGACAAGTTCCCTCATTAGTAACGGCTCCTACAGAGCTGAGCGACAAGTTTCACCGTCCTTTTTTAGAAACGCTGATTTTAGAAGACACTAAACTCTAACTGCATGTTTTACTAAAATTATTTTTAAAAACGATTAGTTAGTTAGAAGGCAAAGAAAAATGTATTTAACTGTTAACAGATTATAACTGATTTATTTCATGGTGATTTATTTCATATTAAAGTTGTCCCCCAAGTAGGAATGTAAGGATGCATTGTGAATCGGTCAAAAAATAAAAGAAATGCATGACAATTTGCATCGGTTAAAATAGAAAAATTAATCGCACATTAAGGTCAAAGAGCAGGCCGCGTTATTTCACTGGTCATACCATGACATTACATACTCAAGTACAGTAGGTAGATGCAGATGTGTGTTTCTGTAAACTCATCTACAGGTGATTATTTTTAATTCCGCATAGTTCTTAAAAATTAAAGATCATTGTACTTCGTCATTATCTGTCTGTAGCTCTTTTTTTTTAATTGTGATAAAATTGTATTGTAAGCAAAAAAAAAAAGCTATTACTAATTTGATAAACACTAACCTCCATCCTTCCATCGACTCCATCACTCTGCAGCAGCTTCTGTCTGCCCTGTTCCACAGCCAGCTGTAGTTTGTTGATGTACGACTGCAGCTCCTCAGAGGAGTCCATGTTGAGCTCCACCAAGCTCTTATGGAACTGATCAAACAGACCATCGTCCAGGAGGTCCTGGACAGGCACAAAAATAAAGATCAAGTTGTATTTTTTGCACTTTTACCCAAAAATATTTACCTTTAATATTTATATTTTATAATCCTATAAGTAGAATCCTAAATAAAAGACATACAGTTAAAATGAAAGGCTAAAAAACTACAATGATCTTCAAAGTTCTGTCACAACCAGTTCCTTGCCTGTACAGCCAACAGCCGGTCCAGCCTCTCCTGATCCTGCTGCAGCTTCTCCTCTCGCCGACGAGCGTTGATCTCCTGAAGCCGCCTGAGTTGTTGAGCTCTCCGTTCCTGTCTCTCTTCCACGCTGACGCTGCCACCTGGCACTTTACTCGAGAAGGGAAGTTGCATACGATGAACTTCCTGCTCGTAAAATGCCGGGCTACGCCACTTTTCCAGCTCTACAGAGATTGTAGAGGTAATAAAGAGCAGAGAAGTGAGGTAGAAAGGATGTCAATCAACCATCCATCAGCAAACCTCTACATGTAAGGGTCAAATACAGATGCACTAACAAGCTGTACCTTCCTGGTAATCCACTGCGATGTAACTGTGTTCATGCAACAGCTCTTCCATGCGGCTGAGTGTGATACTGGCCAAGTGACCCGGGTATTTCAGATGAAGGAGGCGCTGTAGGTACGACGCTGCCTGACTTCCAGCTATGTTCACTCGTTTACAATTAGCTGCATCCAATCTGAAAAATAAAAAAAATAAAAAAATAATGTCCTAGGTTAAAATAATATAATTTATGAAGTTCTTCAACTGTGTTTTTGTCACTGTCATTTTTGATAAGATAAAGCAAAATAGATAATGTAACAATTATCTGTGTGTTAACATTACTGTTACCTTCCATTAATAACTGGTAGGATGTGTGAGCAGTGGTATCCTGAGGACAGAACGATGCCCGTGTGTGTTGGAGGGATGGTTTTCTGGGTGTTGCTGTGGTAAAAACTGTACAAAGCGTCCACGCCGTAGGAGACATGAGGGACACCATAGCACTCAAACAGAAGCTCTGACATCATCTGCCGACAGTGCAGCGGGTTGCATGGTGCCTCTGTGAGAACAATTGGATGGTCTACACTGCCCTACAAAAAAAAAGATAAAAAATTTAGATACAACATTTTATATATAGTTTTTTAGACTGATATATTTTTTTCTGTGATGATGCTTTGGTGATATTTTTATTATATATTTGACAAAGTTTTAACCATTGGACTAACCTGGCTGTGCCTTTGACCTAAATGTTAATTTGAATTTTATAGTCGTTTTATGTTATTGCATCACTCGTTACTAGTGACATGTGTGAAATCTAATCCCATAGCTGCCTCTAAAATGGGTTTAAAAATTTAAAAATTAATTGTTCAAGAGACTGGCTCTTATTGAATGACATCTTACTAGCGGATGAAAATAGTCGGTATGTAGTAAATAAAACCTAGCACCAGCCCTCCTACACTGTTACCTCAGTGGTGATGCCCAGGTGTGTGAACACATGGTCGAAGATCAGCTCCTGGATCTCAAAATTCACCACCACATTTCGGTCAAACTGACTCTTCAGTAGCCATCGCAGAGGCTCCAGGTTCGGGATGTCGTTGCCGATCTGTGTATCACTGCGGGCTGCTCCTCTGCTGCGAGCCGCCACTGACCTGAAGACCAGCTGCGGAAGTTGGAACTCGGCCTCAGGAACGGCCCAGCCCGCTCTAGTCTGGAAGGAGCCGTTATCTATTACTATAGGAACAGAGGTCGGAGTCGAACACTGGGCGGGTAGATCGAAAATAGGGTCTGGAGAAGCCTTACAGTCTTTAAATGAGAAAATCTGACAAAGCGACCGCTCTGTGGAAGACATTTTGAAAGTGTTCGTTTACAAAACATGTCCGACTGGCAGCTTGGTATCATAGACTTTAGTTCCGGTCGCGTATTACCTTTACAATTATACTAATTATGTTCAATGTTCTGCAAAATTTCAAAACTTGGACTATAATTAATATTAAAACAAATCAAGATCATTTTTTAAATATAAGAAAATATAAAATATATAACAAAACGTATTAACCAGGAAATCCTTGTTTTAGTAAGTCCTTACTTTGTCCGCCAGATGTCGTAAAGACATTCTACGAAAGTACCTGACTTACTGTACTACAGCCACAGCTTGGTTTTGTTAACAATAAAGAAAATACGTCTGGTGATTATAATTAATATATTATTGAAAGATTTTTTTATATATTATAGCCGACTACAATACCTAGCGAACAATAAGATACCAGTGTACAAATATACTTCGCTTAAATTGTTTAAAGCTATTAACTTATTTTAAATTCTAACGGAGTCAGGTGTCGTATTACATAAAATAATACAAGGCAAGACAAACATTTCATTCAGTGTTATTTGATTTTCATTCTCAGTTTCCAGTATGTATTACCTTACATTTGAGGTCATCTGTCTCCTCTGCTCTTTCCATGCTCTTCCCCTCAGCTGACTTGGCAAAGGCTCAGCTGGTGATGTGGGACACCTGCACACACGAGCGACTGTATGCCCCAGGTCATTGTATCCAGTCAATGGATGTTTTTTTTTTTTTTCATTTAGCCAACCATGATGTCATGTCAGTGAAGAGCAATTAAATCATGAAGGATACATTTGGACTTTCTTGGAATTGGATGGAGTTTTTGATATTCACTTCCCTAAGTGGTGTACAATACTATCTAAATAACTGACATAAAATTGTGGCAGCAATGATCAGCAACAATAATGACATACGGTGAAATCGTATTGTGTGTTTGTTTGTGTGTGGGGTTGTGTGTTACTGTATTAGGGTTGGTAGTGTGACACTAAAGCCTGAGCACAGTTCAGTGCTCAGGCACAAAGCGCAAAGTGCCTGCATGCCGTCCCCCTCCTCCTGATGTTAATAAGCAGATCTGGGTCATCACTCCCACCCTCACTCTATCCCCAAGACATACACAACAACTCAGTATGCACACACACACACACACACACACACACACTGGCATCATCACTCCCAGTAGGAAAGATGTGACATTGTCCGAGGGTCCTAGTGCTCTGTGTATTGTGAAGGGTTGGGGGGTGGGGGGGGGGCAGAGTATGGATGCTAACTAATTACTTCAAATGTTTGGGAATAGATAGAATGAACAGTCAACTGTCAGTCAAAACCGTCAATTAGCAAATAAATCATTAAAATTCTCCCAAATAAATCCACACTCTAAGTTGACTAAAAACATTGTGCTTTTCCCCTCTTCAGCCTCGTGTGGTCAGGTCAACACTACTGACATTTCCTAAATTCCAAATGCTCCAATAAATTCCTGTTTCATTAATTAGAAATACGGAAACTAACCTTTACCACAGTGTTTCCATCTTGACCTGACCATCTGTGGATCTGTGTGATTATGAGTCATCTGTTTGTCACGAACACGAGGAAGTTCTTTTGTAATCTGTTATTAAACTTAGCTCTGACTTGTGAGTTTATGATGTTGCAATCTGTGTGTGTGTGTGTGTGTGTGTGTGGCCTACACAGTTTTCATAAAGTTCATGACTTTGAGCACATGCGCTCAAAACCTATGCTACCTCATGACTTTTTTCCACACCCTGTCACAACTGCACACAGACACACACACAAAAAGAGATGAGGGGGGGGGGAGGGGGAGAGACTGTCACTACCACTCTCTTCAAACTGCCCCTGTTTGCCCAGCAGTTCTTTTGGGGTCGCAGAGTGATGAATGTGTTTGTGCACCTGTCACCACTCATGTATTCATGTGCGTGTGTGAGAGTGTGACGCAGCGCAAGTCACCATACCTACACGTGGAAAGATCATCGTTTTGAATTGATATATATATATAAAGCACTGAAAAAGCTACTGGCTAACTTCTATAATTTTAAGGGTTTTTTTTTTGTTACCATTGACATTAAACCATTACTAAATTAAAGATAACTTTTAATTTAATGACTAAATGATAGTGGCTGATGCTGGAGCAGGACCAACCGAGGATGTTGCCTTACAAAATACGATTAAAAACATAAAAACAAAAAAAAAGTTGTTGTTCACTTTTCAATATTCACCATGTTGCTCATAAAACCCAGCTTCACATTCATCAAATGCTAATGGACTGGATCATCTGAACCATGGCATCGTGTTAAAATCTTTAATTCTTTGGAATATGAGTATGAATATGAGGACTAAATGAGGACTCATCCATGGCTATTTAAACAGTGTTGGACTCCGTCTACCAACACAAAAATGACTAAAATTATCCAAAATGTTCAGAAATATAAATAAATTGCAGGTTAATAAACAAAAAAAAACATATTCTGTTGAATTACGTAGAGGAAATACGTTTCACGATGATCCAAAATGCACATTTGAAAAGAGCTGTGGGATATTAAAACACACACACACACACACACCTTGACCAATTACTGTGGCCATGGCAACTATCAAAGATTATTGCTCGCAGTCAGGGCTGCAGAGTGTGTATAAGCTCCTCCATATCTAAAATACACACGCACACACACACGCACGGATCTTGAATTAATCCTTCTCTTTGTAGCCCAAGTTGCTAAATTGGTCTCCCCAGCAACCAATCTCCAAACCATTTCAAAGAGTGAAAATCCATTTCGTCGTGAGGAAACACTCGTGTTGTGTTTGACTGAGGCGCCACATTAAACCGTCTTTAATAACAGCGCGTTCTTTGTGTGTGTGTGTTTTTTTTATTTAAAGATTTTCTGTTTTTCTTTATTATAATTTATTTAGTTTAATTTTAGATTTTTTTTAAATCTGGTTTTATTTTCTATCTGGTAACGAGAGCGTGTCACTGTGGCATTTGCAGCCTCTGTCCCAGCCCGAGCCTGAGGTCTGTGCATGGGATGATGGAGGAGGGAGAAGAGAGATGCCTCAAGGAGTACACACACACACACACACAAATACACAGTCACACACACACACACACCTCCAGACACTGACGAACTGATGACACACACTCTAAATAACAAACACTGCTCCGGCACACAGCAGCCCAAGCATGAAAATACTTTCTCCATCCTCTGGCGGTTTTCTATATTTAGACCTCGGTCCTATGTTAACGCGATGTTTCAACATAATAACTCAAATATCAAGCTTAATTGCTAGACTCATGCTGTGGTTTCATCTTAAAGGCTAGTTTGTGTGAGCTAAAAAAAAAAAGTAAGAAAAATATGACAACTCTAAGACGTCCCCCAATTTCTTATTAAGCCTGAAAATCCCTGCCGTTTTATCTGAGGTGGGATTAAAATGAGGCTTTTTTTTAGCATAACCCTAAAAGAAATCAACACATAGCAACAATCTGGGAAGGAATTGAACGGAATGTGTGAAAAGCTGATTTTGTTTTCCAGTGTAGGGAGCTGTCCGTGGTGCTGCCGCTGCGTCACGTCAACTACGAGGTGCTCGTTTCCTCCAGTCAACAGCCTCGGTTTAACAAGTGCATCTGGAAACAGGCTGTTCAATGGACAGGAACAATTGACATCTGCGTGGAAAAAATACATCACACGGATTTTTTTTTTCACGGATCTTTTTTGTTTTGTTTTGTTTTTGCCCCCCCCCCACACACACACACACACACTCTCAACCTTCTTATTGTAACAGCGTATGCTGCTATAATTGTTTTATAAGTTATTTTAGTCAATTGTATTTTTTTGGTCTGTATACTGAATGATGATATTTCCTCTGTGTGTGTGTGTGTTAGAGAGAGAGAGAGAGAACGAGAGAGCAAAAGATACAGACAACATGAACAGAAACTCTTTCACAGTTAATATGATTAATGATGCCTTCGTAAATTACTGAACAGTTGGGCAGTAAATTTCATTCATTGATTCATTTAAAGACGTCGTCAATTTGAAATTGAAATATTCCGTCATTATTTACATTTAACGAACAAAATGACGCTTATATCGTTAATATAATATGTTACATCACGCGTTTTATTTCTGCTTTCTCTGAAATCAAAGGCACAGCGATGATGCCCCCCTTTATTATATAAGGTCTCTCCTGCCACCCCCACACCCTCCACTCCCCCCCCCCCCCCTCTCGCCATTCGTGACAGTTCTGATATGAACTGGCATCGTGTTAGACAAACACACCCCTCTCTCTCCCTCCCCCTCTCCCTCTCTCTCTCTCTCGTGCTTCATTCCACTGCTCTCCGTCACCACCAAGACCTGAGGTAGAGGAGGAAATTTGTCTTTTTTCAGCACTAATGAAGACTCGTTGTTATTTTTTACCGTTACGTCTCTGCTCAGTTGGAACTTCTTCTCATTGATGTTTGAGCCAGGAAGTGTTTTAATGATTTTATAGAGATTAATATGGACGAACAGTCCGAGAAAAGGGATTTTTGAAGATTCTTTCTTTCTTTCTCAGGAGGCGTGTTTTCTCCATCACCACAGGGGAAAAGTCAACAGGCATGAACATACACTGACTGCTTTGAAATCCTGCTTCACCGGCCTGACTACTGGATCATTCTCATTTCAACATCACTGGTTTATTCAGATTGAGATGGCTCACAACATCCGACACAAGCTGACCAACAAGCTGACCAATGCTGCCCACACCGTGTCCAACAAATCCCAGGCCAAGGTCAGCGGGGTTATGGCCCGGCTGGGCTTCCAGGCCGCCACGGACGATGAGGGCTTGGGTTTTGCCGACTTTGACGACCTGGACTACGACTACAGACAGGGGATGCAGATGGATGTCCTTCAGAGGGAGGAGGAAGGACGCGTGGATGGAGAGGACGAGCTGGAGGGGGACAGCTACTACCAGAGGGACGGGACCGGGCCCCGGCCTTCAACACTGAAGACAGGAGGCTCTCTGGACCAGGACAAACCAAAGATCACATCCTGGGAGGCTGGATGGAACGTCACCAACGCCATTCAGGTAATTCACCGGAGCTGTTTCTCTGTCGGAGATGTTGGTATATTTAAAAAAAAAAAAATCCTGGCTGTGAAGTGTGCAGCACAGAGGCGGTGGATAAAAAAGTCACCTTGAAGATGATGAGGAGACGTTGAATGGTAATTTGAACAAAAACGTTCTGAAGAAAGCGGACCTCGCGGTGTGGTCCATGAATGCGTTTTCTTTTATTTCGTGATGGAGAAATCACGTAGTCTGGGGTTCCACCTGATAATTATTTTATAACTATTATTATCCTTTTTTCTTGTTTCCTCAAGCTGAATAGACTCCAGTTTTAAGGCCTCAAATGTACATACATGTTTCATTTATACTTCACAGATTTCCAAAAATAGGGAAAATAAAAAGAAAATGATCTTTACCTCCAGGAAATCAATGCTGTTCATACACATTGATTAACATCGTCTATGGATTAAAATAATATTTTTTCGAGGACACGACATAGTTAGTGGCCTTCGCGGCCTGTAGGACAGTTTATCTGACCCACATCGTATCGTAAAATCACGTTCGCCACAGTTTTATCACATCACGTATTGGACAAAAGGAGAAACGTGAATCAGCCGCAGTGCGTGTATTATTTTAGCTGTGATTCACACTGTTAAAACGCAGCACATTTCTGCCGAATTATTTGAATTTGTTTAACCATAAATGGACGCGTTCGTCAGCAGTTACACGTTTTAATCGATGATTTACCTCGACTTCTCCCGTTCTCTCGATTCCTAATTTTAAAAAGAAGATTTTAAATGAATTAATTTTTAAACTGAGACTGAGATTGAAGTCAATCGGATTTAACATTAATGTATTCAAATCTATTTATCAGCAGAGCTGCAGACGTGGCCTGTTGGGCTGTGATACCGGCCTGAGGCTGAATGAGATTCAGCGGATTATTTATCAGCTTATCATCAAGTTTATATTTAACATTACATTATATTTCTTTTAAAAATATTTATATAAAATCCAGAATAGGACAAAAATTAAAATAATAAAAAAATGTTCTTAAATGTTTAAAATCCCAGTTTACATAATCTTATGTAAGATGCTGGAGTCCTGTCACGCACGGCTCGGCCTGTCACTTTGATCGTCTCCTCCTCCTCCTCCTCCTCCTCCTCCTCCTCCATGACCGCTTCTCTGCGTCTCTCTGTCCACAGGGTATGTTTGTCCTCGGCCTGCCCTACGCCATCCTCCACGGCGGATACCTCGGCCTCTTCCTCATCATCTTCGCCGCCGTGGTCTGCTGCTACACGGGCAAAATCCTAATTGCCTGTCTGTATGAGGACGACGAGGACGGCGTCAAAGTGCGCGTCAGGGACACGTACGTGGACATCGCCAACGCCTGCTGCGCCCCCCGGTTCCCCGCTCTGGGCGGACACGTGGTGAACGTGGCCCAGATCATTGAGCTGGTCATGACCTGCATCCTCTACGTAGTGGTCAGCGGAAACCTGATGTACAACAGCTTCCCAGGATTCGCTTTCTCCCAGAAAGCCTGGTCGGTTGTGGCCACAGCCGCGCTCCTGCCCTGCGCCTTCCTGAAGAGTCTGAAGGCCGTGTCAAGGTTCAGCCTTTTGTGCACTCTGGCCCACTTCGTCATCAACGTGGTGGTGATCGCCTACTGCCTGTCCAGGGCTCGGGAGTGGGCCTGGGAGAAGGTGAAGTTTTACATCGACGTGAAGAAGTTCCCCATCTCCATTGGTATCATTGTCTTCAGCTACACCTCTCAGATCTTCCTGCCTTCACTGGAGGGAAACATGCAGAAGCCCAGTGAGTTCCACTGCATGATGGACTGGACTCACATTTCTGCCTGCGTTCTCAAGGGTCTCTTTGCCCTGGTAGCCTACTTGACATGGGCAGATGCCACCAAAGAGGTGATCACAGATAACCTGCCCTACACCATCAGAGCTGTGGTGAACATCTTCTTGGTCGCCAAAGCCCTCCTGTCCTACCCACTGCCTTTTTTTGCTGCAGTGGAGGTTCTGGAAAAGTCTTTGTTCCAGGATGGAGGGCGGGGCTTCTTCGCTGACTGCTATGGCCCTAGCGGGCAGTTGAAATCGTGGGGCCTGGGCCTACGAGTGGCTCTTGTCGTCTTTACCTTGCTCATGGCTGTTTTCGTCCCTCATTTTGCCCTGCTGATGGGTTTAACTGGGAGTCTCACTGGTGCAGGACTCTGTTTCCTTCTACCAAGCCTCTTCCACCTGAAGCTGCAGTGGAGGAATCTGCTGTGGCACCATGTCTTCTTTGACGTTGCCATTTTTGTCATTGGAGGTATATGTGCCATATCTGGCTTCATTCACTCCATTGAAGGTCTCATAGAGGTATACAGGTACGACATCCAGGACTGAGAGCCTCATGCTGTAGATGACCTTTATTAAACAGTGTTGATGTCTGAAGGCTGTCCCTGTGCAGACCTCATCAGTCCAGCTTGACATATACAGTATGTCCATGCGGAGGAAAACCAGTCTAAAACATAGCCTACATCTTTTTTTTATTTTGCCTTGGTGGTAATGTGCAATAATAACCTCTACAATCACAGTGTAAAGTCTCCTCCATGTTGTGTTGATTGCCTGGAAAGACAAACACCAACAGCCTCGGCATCAACAGGCCTGTCCAGGTGTCATGTCTTTATCAAAGATCCAGTGAAAACGTCTATGACTTGAGTGTGTAAGTGTTACTTTCTCGAAAATGAAAAATGTGTATTACCTTTAAGGGGTGAATATGTTGGTGCTGGTTTTTGAGCTGCTTATAATGTATTGATAATAAAAAAGAACAGAGCATCTCACAGATCAGATGACGATCTGTGTAATAAAACATAAATCGTTTTGTCTTGTTGGTTCAACAATCTCTTTTTTTTTAAGTTTGGTTTTATGTTTTGTTCAATTTCATGACTGTAGCTGTGCCGGTCCTGTTTTGGCTTGTTGGTGTTTCAAGTGTGATTCTGGTGGAAGTAAGTTCAAAGTGAAAGTAAGTGAGTTCTAATAATGATGTGTGTGTGTTTCTTTTTTTTTTCTTTCCACTGAAGTTGTAAATTGTGATTTGTTGGAACTATTGATGGTGTGTGAGATGGGTGAAAAGGTGAATAAATCGAATATTTTATCTCTTTATCTCTTGGCTTCATAACAAAAAACATAACATGGGACACGACAAGTAAAGTCAAGACACAATATATGTTGTGTAAAAATGCAAACCATTTTTTTTTTACAAGAGCTAGCAAAGAATGAAATTTATATCTACAACACAATTCATAATGTTTGGGTCAGAGACAGGTTTCCTGCTCAGTAACATTCCATTACCTTTTTATTTAACACATTTCAGCTACAAGCAGTTGGCAGACAGGAGAATAGAAACAGGTAAATACATTAAATTAAAGTATATGAAAAATAAAACCCATCTTACAGGATGGCTAACTAGCACACAAGTCCAACCACAATAAATACGTGTATCTAATGCTAAACAATAGACATTAAACAGCAAACTATAACTTTCATAAAGCAATTGAAAATGTGAAGATAATGAATCAAAAACAGCTACTTAATTAACAATGAACACACTCGATAAGAAGGCGAGACGAGGACGACGTACCTGGCATGTTGAGCTGACAGCGGCAATACTGAACGGTTCATTTTCAGGCGGCAGCCAATCCCTGTCTGATCCTGCTCTCCACCAATCACCGTCTGCTTTTTAAATAAACCTATTAGCATAACCTGATTTTCATGAATCTCAACACCTGCTACCGACCTCCCTCGTGGTTTTATCAGCAGGTGACCTGATTGACAGCCAATGAAAAACTATCTGCAAGCATCTCCGTTTATCTGTTTAGGTAGTACTCTGTCACTCACGTGTACACACACGCACAAACACACGCATACGTGTGCACACGCATACGTGCGCGCACACATCACATACAGACAAATATCAGCACAGCCAGGTATTATAATAGACTGAGTAAAAAAAGAAAGAAAGATAGATAGATATATAGAAAGATAGAAAAAGAAAGAAATAGCTCCACCTACATTCCAGTTAAATCCCCGGTTGTTTCACTTCTAAGTTTCACTTCTCAGAAAGTGAAGGGAATGAAGGCAGTCTTATAAAAACAGCAGCGTCAGAGACCAGCCCTTCGTTCACACAGACAACACACAGCAGGAGTTTCTACTGTTATTACTGCAGTAGTTGATGTATGCTCCTTGACATGTCACAGCAGCTCTGAATAGTACTTCAGATACTTCTTTTCTTTCAGTTTTGCCTCATTTGCTGCAGTTCACTCAGCAACATGCTTCAGCCCGTGATCCTCCTGTTTGTGCTGGGGACCTGCAGTGCCGTAGAAAACCCCGGGATTGAAATCACTGTGAACAACAAGGGGCTTCAGTACGGTGAGTACTGTACAGTAAAAGATGTTTCCAAATTCACGAACGTGTCACTGTATACTGTCGTGTCGCATTATTCCAGGAAAACATGCAGGTGCTGACTGGATCCAGGGGATTTTGGGAAACATCACCCTCCCTTTTATGGATGGCAGAATTCGCGTCGGGTGTTTTAGTAGTTTATACTACACCTTTACAGAGTAGGTGTACTGCTTATCTTGTGAATGTGTTCGTCTGATTGTTTCACTTCTCTAACGATCTATGTTCACCACATGTGCCACCAGCACCAGAATAAGGAAATGTGACCTTCCAGAACCATCTGTTGAGTTTTCTCCAGAGGCTGCAGGACTGAATATGTCCATATCAGGCCTCAGTGTTGCACTGACCGGAGAGTGGATGGCAAGCTTCAGCTTCCTGTGAGTTTACAGTAAAACTACATTTGTGTATTTCCCCCCAGTGCTGGGGTGTCAAACCCACAACTACTGAGATTCGCATGAGCTACTGCACAAAGTTGACTGCAAAGGGCTGATGTAAAACGGGAAGTGTGTGTGTGTGTGTGTAGTGTAAGTTCTGTATAATAGATTAATAAATATGTGAATATTTAATATCTAAGTAAAAATAATAATAAAAAAATGCAAAGGGCTGATGTAAAACGGGAAGTGTGTGTGTGTGTGTGTAGTGTAAGTTCTGTATAATAGATTAATAAATATGTGAATATTTAATATCTAAGTAAAAATAATAATAAAAAAATCAAATCAAACATAATCATAAATGTCAGTCCATATATTATCAAACATATGGTATTAAAGAATCATAACTGCAGAGTTGCACATTTGAGTACGACAAGGAAGTCACTTCTACTAGTGACACCACACAACAACAACACAACAACACTGTACCCATACAGTGTTGTTGTGTATGGTGTACATGAAGCTAATGTTTTGATTTGACCTACTATCTAATTTAATATTACATATATCTTCAGTGCTGTCTTTACATTATTTGTATATGTATATATATATATTTAATGTAAAAAAAATCCACAGTACCACCGTACTGTAAAAACCAGGATCCTGAAACAAAAGTGAAAGTAGTTCAGTTCTGATCAATGTTTAACCCTGTTCTCAGTGTATTTGTATACAGCAGTTTGGTTACATCACAACATGAAATTATAACATAATAATAATAGTAATAATAATAATAATAAAGAAATGAATTGACATTGACCTGGTTTATTAGCATGTGGCTACTTGGCTACTTTTAAAGCAGAAATAGAATAGTAGGGACTCACCTCCACTGCAAAACATTTCAAGATCTTCTTGGTTTTTAAAAAAACGATGATACTGATTGTCTTTGTTTTGCAGCCAAAGCGTTGGATCCTTCAACATGGCCTTATTTAGTGTGGATGTGACGTCTGTGGTGAAGCTGGACAGAGACAACAATGGACATCTGTCTGTCTCCAGTGTCAGCTGTGAGGCTCATGTTGAAAATGTGGACATTAGTCTGTCTGGTGGAGCCAGGTAGAGAGAGGGGGTCTGGGGTTTAGTCTCAGGTGGAGTTGCTGTGTTCTCACTGTATTTTTATTTGGCGTCTTTATAGTTGGGTGTTCCAGGCCTTGATGAACCGGCATAAATCACAATTCAAACAAAACATCGAAGACGGCGTGAGTGTGATCGTCAGATTTGACTTTCATCTGACATTAAGACTCCCAGTGGTGAACACTAAAGGACATTATCTTCTTTATGTTTCTTCTTCAGATTTGCCCTCAAGTGGAGAAGTCAATTGCAAACCTGGAGCACTACCTGCAGGTCATGAATGGTATTGCAGCAGAAGGTCTAAACTATGAATGTAGAGTGTAAAAAAACTGTTTTATTTTCACCTTTTCCTCTCCCACACAGTTTCCTTTGATGTAGATCACACTCTTGCAGTGAACCTCTCTCTCACTGCTTCACCCGACATCAATCCTTCAAGTTTGAATGTAGGACTCAAGGTAAAGATTACACACAGAGACAGTTCTGCAAATCAATATTCTGCCTTTTTGTCTACATCACCCACTGTTTGACCCACAGAGATAATCATTTGGAACTTTTTCCTCTGTAGGGAGAATTCTTCAGTATTCAAACCCATAATGATCCACCGTTTGAGGCTCAGCCTTTCACCGTGCCTGTGCAGGGAGACTACATGTTTTCAGTGGTGCTGTCAGAATACACTGTCAACTCTGCCTTGTATGGATATTACTCAGCTGGACTATTCAACATATTCATCAATGATAGCATGGTAGGTTAAGTAATCCAGTGGATTAGCCAAGAATGAATTGATCTCAAGCGTTGAGCGTTCACCCTTTAATAATCTATATGAAATAAGATCAGGTTTAATATTCCCAGATCCCTCCAGATTTTCCTGTGCATCTCAACACCAGCTCCATGGGACCATATATCCCCCAGGTAGTGTATTAATCCAAGTGAACAGAATATGTGTGAATAGATACAAATATAAGAAAAAGGAATCATCATTTCACAGAACCGGTGAAAGTCTATGTTGCAGAGTCTATGTTGCAGTTGTTTTCTTTGGTCGTCTCATAATCTCTGCAGCTCCCCAAGGCCTTACTGGGTCTGCAGATGAATCTGCAGGTTAATGCCACATCCGTTCCCATGGTAACCTTCCAACCCGATTGGGCCAAACAGAGCTTCCACGCCACTGCTGAAGCGTTTGCTGTTCAGCCGAACGGCACCCAGACACCACTGTTCCAGCTCAGAGCTGTGAGTTCCTGCATGAACCTGTATCCATGAATACAGACAGAGCTGAGTCAGAAACAAAGAATTTGTGTGTATTGATGAGGACTTTAACCCCATATCATTTAAAATACTTCCAGACAGATGTTAGAAAGTGTCAGATTTTAGTAGCTGGGGAGAACAAAGAAAGAATTCTCTGATGGAAAAACCAACTGCAGACAATTTTTGAAATCAGCTGGATGGCACAGCTTTGGTATTTGCATACAGTAAATAAAGTTTTTTTTTTTAACTTTTGGACGCCCAGTGTGATGGTTGAATTGTAATTGTAACCAAAGATTTAGTGGATCTGTGTATCATAAAAGAAAATACACTGTCAGCTGCCATAACCAGCCGTAACACATCTAACTTCATTACATCTTGCACAACATTCAGATTACTAGACATAAATGTAACGTACCTCCCATCTCTCCTCCAGGACTCAGCATTCAGTGGTCAGTCATGGATTGATGCTGGAAAAGTCAAAGGGAACGTTTCAGTGGACAAGTGAGTTTGTGCACAGTTTGGAACAAACACCTGAGCTTGGATTAACAAACACCTCTGAACTGAACCATGTTTTTTTACACAGCTTTACACTGACACTGATAAGCAGTGACGTCGGCCCCGTAAATGTAAGTGACACTCGGTGAAAACCGAGTAACATGTGAAAAAGTGGTCCAAACAGTAACAGTGATGAATCACATTCAATATTCAGACTAAAACCTTGGCAAAGAGTACAAGAGAAGGAATTGAGATGATATTGACGAGAGTGAACGGTGAGTCAGTTTAAGTGTTTTTTAAAAAACAAGAAAGAAATCTTTAAAAAGAAAAATAAAAAAAACATTCCTCCTCCTTTTGCTCTGTTTGTTTCAGAGGCCCTCAGTAGAGGTCTAGATCTACCCAGACTGAAACGAGCAAAGTTTGTCAACTCAGTGCTGAAGGTGGAGCAGGTCAGTTTGGATACCTTTGCTGAAATGTTTAATCACAGACTTTTTTTTTTAACCACTGTTATTGTTCATTGCAGGGATTCGTATCCTTCTTCTCAGACGCTGAGGTCTGGCCGACAGACAGAGGTTTCAACCGACCCAAACACACACATGAGTTTTTCTAACACTGAAAGCCCTCGACTGTAAGACAAAGTTTGCACTGGATCCTGACTGTAATGTTCTCACAGCGTCATCTTGACAGGTGCAGTTTCCTAAAATGATAAGAATCTACAAGTTCAGACGGTTTTAGATTAAATCTTTGATTTTTTTTTTCTCAGCCATTGTTTTTATAATAATCCTGCTTCTGATTATGGCTTCTGCTCCGAAGTTCTACATAGTCAACTGCTGTGCTTCAATGAAAAATCTCAAATATCTGTTTTTACAAAAGAATAAATACAGTGAACAAAATATACATTCTCTAATTTATTTAGCTACATGTGACCTAAAATTTATATATATATTCATTATTTTTTCTGTGCACCTCAATGCAGTCGTCATTTATAACTGGTGCCATTGTCTGGTCTTTGTGAATGGGTTATAAAGCTGATCTTTGGTCATCGTCTCCTTAGTTAATCATTTTCAGTGCAGTTCTCCTTCTGTGTTACTACTCGTTTTCCCTAGATGGTTGGTTTGGGTTACTGTTTCAGTTTAAATATTATGACAAGCATATGAGAGAATTAAGACTGTTTTGTTATTGGTATTGTGTCTACCTTTCTTGGTGGACAGACATTCAAACCAAATCAAACAGAGATCACGGCACCAAGTAACAGAACAAATGGACGGACGACGCCTGCTTCATGAAGACAAAAGACATCTCTTTATTTTGAAACATTTCCGTGTGCACTGCATTTTGTTACAGCATGTTCACATTCTTGGAATGTAACACAACCATCATATAAATATCAGGCCTATTTACAGCTACTTGTATCAAAACTGTTCCCTCCATAGGAATAAAGAACACGGAAATGAGTTTAGTTGTGAGAAGAAGCTGCTGCGTTTACACCGTCAGTCACTCAGGCAGAAGACCAGACAAGGAAGACAAGGAAGCATGAAACGACGGGGAGTTCAACAGGCTGTTAGAGAGAAGACTTCACTGTGGTGTCACAGATGATGCTTTCTAAAATCAATAAACAAAATACAGTTTCTCCACAGTCAAAACAAACATTATAAATATCACCATCAACATAAATAATACTGTAAATAAAGTGTTTACTGGTTTTATTTTCCATCTTTACTGTGATGTTGGTACATTAATGATCCTGAACACAGCCCTGTAGTTCTCCTCAAGTTAACGTTCCAACACATGTTGCTACAGCTCTTCACTCAACCAGAGACAGAAGCAGAGAAGATAGAACAGAATAAAAGATAAGAGACAAGTATATGAAGAAGTCCAACACATCAGTGTGAAACCTGGTAAAATAAAAGGAAAGTTACATTCACACTTGTTGTTTGGGTCATGTAGTTTAAACCAAAGCAGAGAAGAAAACATTTAGTTGACTTCTCTTTCGCTAAGTCCTGATTAACTGGGTTCTCAAATGAGTCAGGAGAACACGATCATCATCTGATTGGACGGCTGCTGGGCTTGCTGATCGTACTGACTTTAAGTTGCTCTCTATACACAGCCTGTGTCATAAAACCACTGCCACTGTTTCCACTGAACAGAGCAGGACAAGCGTGAACACGACCTCTGATGTATTTTACCACGTTTAAATGTTTGTTATTTTATACATGTTCAATAAATAAACATAAGCTGCCACTGCTGGCTGTACAAAACCTTCGTTGTAACAACTACTGCTGGGCGATAGACCACACACTGACTGACACACACACACACACACACTCTAACCTCCCAGATTTCTAGCTAATGGCACAAGACAAAGGAGTGCTATTTTTGTAAAACATGGACATGAACCATGTCACCTGTCATTATGTCCTGATAACTAATATTCTTTCCATCATTCATCTAATGGCTGGGGAGAAAGCTTCAGCGTAACAACAGGCTTGACGCAGTTGGTAACAGTCTTGATGCCCTGCAGCTGAAACTGAGGAGCTATATTACAGTTCTCCCTAGTGTTTACTCTACTGTCTTTGCTTAAACAAATGGGTTTAAATGTGTCTGAACTATTTTGCTTTGAAAATACTTTGGCAATTGATCAAACCCATAGTATGCTCAGTCAGAAGTGCATGTTAAATGACACAAAATGATGTCATTTTAATACCAGTGCTTGAGTTGTTTAAAGTTTACAAATGGTAAAAAGGTTGGAGGGAGAGAAAGATTAAAAGATCAGGAGAGACTAGGCTGATGAATGATGTGGAGGCACAGTGTGAATTTGAGAAAGAAAATGAGCTTCACATCACAAGACAAAGTCCTATGAGCTTCAAGTGCAGTCAAATTCCACCCTGTGTTAGTTCTTTTTATCCGTCATCAGCTCAATGCTCCTCGTCAGTAATCAGAGACCTGTTTCAGACTGGTCAGGCAGCTGAGGAGCAAATGTTCCCGACAAACAAATGAAAACAAACATACCAGAGGACACGACTGTAGTTATTATGAGGCTGTGCTGGGAGATGAGAATTCTCCGTTTAAAGAGACAATGTCTGAGAAGTCCATTGGTTCATGGTGGGAAAAGCAGTTGGAAAGTCTCACAATATCATTTGTCTGCAGCAGCTGCTGCCGCCATAGGTACAAGCCTGGTACTGCGGGCTGTTGCTGTTAACTCTTCGAATTCTGTGTTCAATCGTCTGATGACCCACTCCATGGCTTCACGGCCCTGAAAACCACAGGTGAGATGTGCATGTTAGTGGTGAGTGACAGCTCTAACACTGATATTGACTCTGATGTCGGGAGGAAGTCAGGTTCCACTTCACCTTGCCAGCGTTGACAGAAATTGTTTTGGCCATGAGACCCTCAAGGTAACTGCTCAGACTGATGCCTTTCACACTGATCAGGGCTTCTTGTGTGAGCACCGTTCTAAAAAATAAATAAATAAAAACCTAAATAAATAGTTCTCTTTAAACAGTCTTTTTGTACAAAAGTAGCTCCAAAACAGTATTAACTTTTATTTTAGGTGAAATAACAAAAACATTCATATTTACTTTTGTGGATCCTGCGGGTGTGGCTTGTAAGTCAACTTTTCATCCACAGAAACCAGGTTAGTGAAGGAGATCTGCACAGACAAAAATAAAGGTCTTTACAAATTGCTGTAATTATTTCAAATACATATAAAAATAAATATGATTTGATTTAAAGGAAACAAATATTTGACGAGATATTTTAAGTTTTGCTACTAACATTAGTAGACTGTAGTTGTAATGTCTTTTCTTTAGGATCTACGACAGAATGTTCCTGAACATAGGTGCATGTTCTCGACGTTCCAAACCCAATGATCTGCAATAAAAAGGACAAAACTCAAGTTAGACATTAAGGAAACCATGTCACATTGTTAACATTCTAACTGTGGTGTGTCGTCATCACTTACAGACTTGGCCATGGCGGGCAGACCCCACTCTGTGCTGAGCAGCCTGGTGCTGTGTAACCGTCCCTCTGTGTCTACGCTTCTCTTCAGGACGTCCACACCAAACACACTAGGATTCATGGGGTTGGGGTATTTCTGCATTGCTGCCTTCGTCACCGTCTCCCATGGGTGACTGTGTAAACCATTAGTAATAGTAACATTAGAAACATTTAAGGGGACATAAGCTAGAAAGACTGCAGATGAATGGAAACTATCAGACCAACTGCATTTTGATCATTTGCTTGGTAATCAAATTTTTTGTGAAGAGTTTAATGACATTGAACTACTTTGTACACGGTAACGAAAACAAACAGACATTTGTATTCACAGCCAAGCTTTGATACGATCACTGTTAACAAAAACAAAATACAAATATTGCAATGACAAAGTAAACGCTTTGGGTTTTATGACAACAGTCATGAGCAGTGAACGCTCATTCTCCATTAACGAACATTAATTAATAATCAACAACTATAGGACAACATGTAGCTCGGCGCCATTATTTATTTGTAGGATATTGCTGTCCATATATGCTGTCGGTATTTATCTAACTCGCTGCAGCCAGAGTGATACAAGTCACATGGAAAACATCGCGCGAATCTCATCTGTCAGACGGACGATAAAATGTTGTCACGAGCTTTAAACGTGAAACAACGAATGTCGCCTTTGAACAACCAGCATCTCATTAGATGCAGTTCGTTATCTCGGACGTTAGCTCTAAATGCTAACCTTCATTTTTACTGAGCTAAAGCTGCTCCAAAGAATTTTAGCGCTGAGACAGCGGCGAATGAAAACAAAAATCGACAAATGCAACGCGAATTATGTTTGGGTTAAAAGTACAATTTAATAGGAAGCGCGATACAATTTTAAATAACTTAACCAAAGACCTTTATGTGAAGTTCACCTTAACTTATATGCTAAGACGGTTGGCCCGGAAAGTACGAAGAGAAAGAACAAAGCTGGTGATACGAGTTGGAACTAGTGGCCTTACTCCGCAGCTTATATAATAAAATCATCACAAACAATAAAATAGGCACTCACTGGAAAATGTGCTCTGACGACCAAATCTTCATTTTAAAGGTTTTTTTCGCCCAGGGCTGGGAGCCGGCGACTGATGACAGTGACCCGCGTCGACGAAGAAGGAAGGACGGAAGTAGAAAAAGGTTAAATTAAGGGAGCCTCTATAGCGACGCGTCCTCTGGTGGCGGAAAACGTTATTGTATCCTGCGATAACCTGGAAACCAGAACGTGATGAATGTGATGTCAGGTGATGGCAATCTAATAACTGCTGGGGGCTTTAATAAAAAAAGCTATTTCTGTCTCGTAAAGCAAATACAATATCTTGCATCAATATTAAAATGTGCAAATAAAAAAAAATATTTTAGAATAACTTTTGTTATTTTTTGTTTTGTTATTTTACTACTACAAACGATACTCCGTAAAACGTTTGTAATTTTGAAACTTCTTAAAACTAACAGCTAAAATTGTACTATAGATAAATTCCTGCCATAAGGCATGTGAGCTGTCAATCATCTTCCCAGACGTTTTCTATTGGAAGGAGGACATAGCCGGAAACTTGCGTACCAGTAATTGCGTCATAAGGCACATATCCGACCTGTCCTTGAAGCCACAACACAGTCAAGATGGTCGCATACTGGAGACAAGCAGGCGTTAGGTATAAAACAGCTAGTATATTATATTTTTTAATTAAACTGTATTATTTTAAGCTTTATTATTGAATAAATGTGTAAGCCTTGTTATGTTTTTGTCTCTGTCGAACCAATGTCATTCGCATACTACTCTGCTAGCTTCAGTTAGCTTTTTTTTTAAACATTGCTGTTACGTGCATGGCGCACGTACATGTCCTTATTTGACAATGCACTGCAAAATATTTATTTAAGCATGAAAAGTTAGGTAGATGTACCTAACAGAATATATTGTCTCAGAGTCTCTTGTCCTTTAGCATGTGGCTAACGTGTGTGTCCTATTGGCAGCTACATCCGCTTCTCCGCTATCTGCGCTAGTGCCTTGCGAGCTGCGCTGAAGCCACAGTTCCAGGCTGAGGCACAGAAGGCCGCGGAAAGCAGCGTTAAAATCCTCAAACCTAGTAAGTAAATCACGCAGACACACAAACAAACAAACAAACACGGCACCATCAGCGATTAGGAAAGTGAGAGTTCATATGAAGTAATGATCTGTCTGCACTGACATTGAATGTTGACAGTTTTAATGCAGTTAACGAGACTTAGTACAAATATATAGACATCTGTCCCTGACACTAGACCTTATCGTCTACATTTTAGTAAAGACAAGAAACCATAAATTCAGTTAAGTATACAATGACACATTTAGTATGTAAAAACTAACTGTAATAGATGAATATATTAGTCTCTGTATATAAACCTAAACCATAGTGTATGTGCTGAATGTTAACAAATCATGTGTCAAAAAGAGTGTAATTCTGTGTCCATAATGAACAATAATGTAGGTGTGTTTTTGCTATAGAGAAATGTTGGATCAGAGTAAAGTTGTGAGCAAGAGGAAAGTTTTTTCCAAGATAAATTTTACCTCAGTACCTACAGCCAAAGAGACAATGATCAATTGGGTAACAGTTGATTTTATGTTTATTCTTCATCATCTTTTATATTAACTCCAGGATGTCTTACTTTTTTAAATCTAAACATCACACATTCTGATTGTCTTTGTGTCAAACATGTTCTGTATTTTCCCTCTAGGATGACACCATGATGTAGATGTTTTTTTCCTGGAGGTGCGAGGTCCTGTGACTGTCCTCTTTATTGTTGGAACAGAGAGATGGATAACACCAAGATGACCAAAAGAGGGCCCAAATGAAATTGCTGTTTTTTCCTTTTTCATCTGTAATTAAAAAGAATAAAAGATGAATAACACATACTGTTACCTTTAGTATTATTTTTTTTTGTGAAGGCATTATTCACTAAAGAACGAGACACTGAAAGAATTTGGTTTGTAGCTACATTTTTATTTTGATAGAAATAAATCGGTGCAGAGGTATATATGAAGATGTCAGTATTTACAGTACAGAGGTATGTTTGCTTGTGTGTGTATGCTGATCAATGACTACAATGACTCAGATATTTTACATTCACATCAGTACAAACCTAGTTCTCAAATCAGAAATACATGCATTTCCCAGATGTGTAGCAGGTATGTTGTGTTGTGTAGCTGCAGTTCAGAATAATCAATGTCACAGTCTGGAGCTTTGCAGATTCACAAAATGAACAAATCACTGTTCTAGGAAAGGTACCAAGGACTCGGTAATTTGAACATTTACAGGGTAATTTAATATTATTTAACTATTGAGTCATATATCATTTATATTGAATGTAATTTTGTAACAACCCTTGCATAGGAAAACAAAAATACTGACTAACAGGTGAATCTCCATGAAAACTAGAAATTATGTTGAACAGTTAAAACCAAATCTATATATAATATTGATCATGAAATAAAGTTTGAGCTGGGTTGGTTTTAAATCACAGTTTTATTCTAAACCCAGGAGTCTAACGTCGTATCCATGTAAGTGTTGCTTATTAACCAAATTTAAAGTTTATTTGCTTCAATACATCCATCTAGATCTCCTCGAACCCTAGCTGTCCTTCTTCTCTCTGGTCATTTTGATCATGGTCTCAGGTGACCGGTACAGGAAGATGAGTTTCTCAAACAACGTCTCCTCCAGCTCCATCTCTCCCGTCTCCCGCACCACAAAAATGTCTGTGCAGAGTTTAAGGACTCTGTCTACACAGGGCAGTTCCTCAAACATGATGGACCTGGAGATCCCGTTGAAGAACTCCCTGACAAACTTTCCAATGACCAGGACCACAGACATGTACAGACCTACGATGCTGTGGTCAGAAGAAAAGAGCATTTCAGAATAAATCAATGATTACTAGTTTTAAACAAATTGAAAGTATAGCAAACAAAGCTACAGTGAATTCAACTCTTATCATTTAACTCACCTGAAGATAAATTGGCAGTTCTCTCAAAATGTATTTTCTTTAGAGGTTTAAAGGAGCAAAATATACAAGGAACAGCTCATCTATTTGTGGAGATTAAAGAGTAGACATCAATGGTGTCCTGTTACCTACCCATGTCCAGCCAAAAAGCCCAGACTGGAAGGACTGACTTTGTCGTTGAACACCAAAATCTCTATGCTCTGACACTTCAGTTGGCTCGTGGTGAGAACAGGAGAGCACTCCTCCACCACCCACCACTGGTCAGCGTCGTCCTGTGTCGTCTTATTGATCTGTTCAAGTTTAACAGTCATAGGTCTGAAGAAAGCCAGTGCATGGAGGTCTGGACGCTCAGACAGATCTGAGGGATAAGATTTAAATTAGAATTTAATTTCAATTTGACAAAGAGCAAAAAGATATTTTGCATAATCTATAAAACATTAAACTGAACTGTAACTAACCCACTTTCATCCTGGTTGCCATTTTGGACTCTGGTCCTTTGGGACCCCGAATGAACTTTGGCAGTAGAGAGGGGATGATCCTATAGAAACAAGTTAAACTTCTAATGTGCTGCTACCAGGAATTAAAAGTATGAAATGAGCCGCAGGTTTAGGAAGAGATTTAATTTGGCCATAATGCCAGAATATTTTCTTTTATGACATTGTCAACATGTTTTCATGAGCATCTTTGTTAAAACTGATATTAAAACAGTATGAGTGAGTGAGTGAGTGAGTGAGTGAGTGAGTGAGTGAGTGAGTGCAGGTTTGTGAGTTCTTACACAGGTTTGTTGCTCTGGCCGTTGAGCATGTGGACAATTCCTTCTCTCAAGGTCTGATCCTCAAACTTTACAGTGTGTTCTCCTATTGACACTGCATTCATGGATATGGACGCATTTCTGTGAGATTGATATGACAAAACAACAGGCAAATGATGCGGACAGAGAAAAGCAACAGTAAATTTATTAAACACATGGTAGATCACTGTAGAATTTCTTTTTTTTTATTTACTTTTGTATTGACATTTAGCAACATATCATTAGGCATACATCATCAGCATGAATGTCCCTCCCTGTAGAATTTCTACTGTCAACAACTGACCAATGTCTTCATTTTGGATGAAAATGAAATTACAAATGAATGTTCATGCATTAACTACGATTCAATCTGCACCAAGTTAGAAGGCAGATTTTCAGCTTTTAACTAACACACTGACCTTAGCAGCGTCCATCGAAGAGTGATGTATATGTGAGAAGAGTTGCTAAGCTCATCTATCATGGCCTTACGACTGGCCGGACTGATGCTCCACAGCAGACTGGCATCACTCTTGATCTTCGCAACAACGATATCCTCCACAAAGTAGTTCATTATGAACTGCATAGCAGACTATGGGGAGACAGAAAGAGAAATCTTTTAATTTTTAGATTGTGTTTTCCTGTTTAGTCTTGTATCCACTTCATATTTTGTGCATCTTACTGGATGAGTAGCATAGACTTTGGTGAGTCGGTCAAATCCAGCTTCTGTGTACGGAACCAGGTTTTGCTCCTGAGCACTCATGGAGAAGAGAGGCTGTACAAACACAAACAGACACACTGAATACTAAATCATAAAACAGTATCTGTATATTCAAAGACAGAAGAGAGTAACAGTATAAATGAACTGAACTATAACGTACATATGAAGAAGAAAATTAGTCCTAAATACAGTGTCATTGACAACAGTGTTTAGCGACATAAACACATTGACTTCCTTCGTATCCAACATCACCTCATAACCTGCGATGCTGAGCTCGATGGAGACGTCTACTGGCTGATTGGTTACTCCTGCTGCTGACTGCACCAGCGACATGAAGAGGAGGGGAAACCAGATGATGCTGATGAGAGTAAAGATGAGAAATCCTCCCATCCCATATTTCACCACCTTCTTCTTCTTCTGCCCTGGAGGATGGGGGTATTTCTGGACAAAAAAAGGAAATCCTTTTGTCAGGCTTTTGTCAACTGTTGACAAAAAAAAAGTATGAAATAATATGTATGATTTTATTTTAGTTTTAACTGTGTACATAGAGACTGAATTAGTGTGACTCATTTACTTTCTCAGACTCCCTCCAACACTTGAGGATGAATATGTTCGCATAGATGTCTTCTACACAAATCCAATTGGACAAAGACAAAGTGGTGTCCGTCCAAACCCAGTCCATCACTGCCCTGAGCTCTGTCAGAAAGGGAACTAAACGGAACCTAAAAGACAGACAAGAATAATAAGAGAATCACAACATGTTTGTAGTTGATACCATATTGTCTTAAATAAAAACTGGGCATAAAAGAAAATAGATTAATATTCAAATATTGTCTTTGTTCCCATACCCCTGAAAGAGGAACAGGTTTAGGTAATTGAAGTTTTTGGTGAGGAAGTTTCCCAGGATGCGGTTGGGGTAGCCACATTTGATCTGATAAGCAGACAGACCAAAGTAGATGCACTTCACAAAGTACCAGATCTGAGCCACTGGATTCCTGTTGAACCGCCTGCAGAGAAATAAAACACACTATGTACAGTACAAGGTTCTGGGAGTGTCTACTGCAGTGAGGTTGAAGCAAGGCAAATTAATGTCAACTTCAATATTTTTTATTTAATATTTTTTATGCCAGAGATTTGCAATGTTATTAACTTTGTTCATTGAGAATAGCAGTGTTGTGGGACTCTCAGTTTTATGAATAAAGTTCAGTTTTTGAAGTAACAGCTGTAAAGGTGTCAACATGGGAGGAGGCTCAACAGTCAAGTTTGGGAACCACAGTGGGTTCAAAATGATGATTTGTGTTTAAGTGATATTTTGGATCATTCCCAAGAGTTGTATCTTCAAGAGTCTACGTTTATTCTTGACCTCCATGAGGCCCAAGGTACTTAACCAAAAGAAATTCCATAAATTAATGCACTAAATGTGCTTCATAAATAATGTTAGTTATTAAAATGTCTGACCTCTCAGTGACTCCAGGAAGGATGAAGAACAGCCAGAAGTGTATACCAAACACCAGCACAACCTGGAACACACACTTTCCCAGCAAGGACTTTTTTAGGTAGAGTGCTCGGTCCACAATCATGGTACCGAACTGCATCAGCAACATGACCAGGAAAGCCTCTGGGACCTGGTCCTCGGAGAGCGACTCTGTGATGTCAGCTGCTGCAGAATATTTCTACACAGACAATAGTCAGTTTGTTAGAATGCAAAATAAGACATTAAGGTTAAAAGTGTTCCCCAAGTCAGGACTCTTATATTTATATATAAACGACAGAATCTCACCCCAAAGGCCCAGTATCCATATATAGTGATGATGAAGTTGACTACGTCGACAAGAAACATGAGGGCGTAGACATCGCACACAGGACTGTATTCTGGGTGGATGATGTCATAAAAAAACTGCCTTATGGGTAAGTAGATGTGAAGTGCGCTGAAGGAAAAGATAAAAAACATGTCAGCATTTAACAAATTTGAAAAAAATCATTCATTCACAGGTGAAACAACATACACTTCTATGACAGCAGCTTTGGCCTGTAACATCCTCTCTCTGATCAGCTGTCTGACCCTCTGCTTCCTGGTCAGAGGGGTCTTGTTTCGCTGTCGTCTCATCTTCTTACTCTGACGCTTCTTTGGCTTCACCTCTCCAAAATACAAAATGTGAACGCAAAGAAAAAATGGCATAAATTCATATGGCAAAAATTTGAAGACAAAGGAACAAACACACACAAAAAAGAATTACTCCCCTGGAAAATATAAACAAAATGAACATATTTTAAGACAATGCATATCTGAATATTAACCCTTCTGACCTCCTGCTGAGTCTCCTTTTGATAGTCTACTGAATATAGAAGTGGTGGAGGCTTGAAGAGGGAGAAACTTCAGTCTGCGTACAGGTTTGTCTTTGCCAACTGACTTATCTCCACTACTCATTTTCTTCTTGTCAACTTTCTTTTTCAGCTTCTTGAAGAAATCTGGCATCTCAACCTCCTTGTTGTCCCACAGACCATGACACTGTCCAGACACACACACACACACACAAAAGCATGCCACATCAACAGATCCCATTTTTAAACAGATAAAGTGTTTATTTAATTGGTAGATGTAAAGTATATTATAAGTTACAAACTAAAGGATTACCTTAAGAATAGAGCGGTGGAAGAACAGAGCCAGCAGCTGGATGAGGTCAAACAGTACGTATCCATCTTTCTTCTCCACTCCAATGATGTTTGGCAGAGCAAATGGCCTCTCAGCATTGATGCCTCTGTAGGCTGACGTGGTCCAGGGGAAGAAACCGAACTGGAAAAAGTACTTGACCACAACAGTCAGCTGAGGAAAACAATAGAGGGAAAATAAACCAAGCTGAAACTCAATTACATGTAATGTCAGTAATATCAATATAATATCCCCTGAGGAAAATTGTTGACACTGCTTGCTTTTTAATCTAATATTACTTTGACATACGATTAATGTAAATAAAAACTAGATGTATCCCATCACTTGCAAAGTGAAGGCCTTCAAGTACCGTACTGTGCTCTCTGTGTGGCAATAAACCACTAGGGGGCAGATGCTATCAGCAAAATAAAACCTGGGCAGTTTGGTGTATCGGGGAAATTGCATCACTTCAAAGAAGTCTTGTTCAAACCACACGATCACAAGGTACACTTCAAAATAAAGTCTGGCTCAAATCCTACAACAAGTTCTTCTTCATCAATTTATATTTTTTATCATTATTACATCCATGAATTCCTCTCAGCAGGATTATTTGTACTTATATTTATTATCTATTTATTGTCTATGTATCAGGTATTTATTAGTTGGGTTACATTTACATATAGAAGAAAACAAACCTAACATTTTCCAGTCATACCTCTGTGTAGATTATCGCGGTCATCCAGAAGCGTTTTGAGGGCCGAGGCACAGACAGCATGGCCCAGAGGAAGATGAGAATTGGTAGGATGAGTGAGAGGAATGAGGCCGACACGATGTGGTTGAGGATTATGACAAAGTAGCACAGCATCTCTGATTTAGACACCATGGTGTTGTAGAGGGCAAACATCAACTTCACTGGTCGGGGCAGCGTCACGAAGAATTTGTCAGATTCTGAGATTTCATCATTATCAAACATACTGGTGAAAAGCAGCAGAGAGAAGACAGAACAGAAAGAAGGATTAGCAGCTTGTTGATCTCCAAAAAGAAAAAAATTTGTTAACTTGTGTTGAACTGACTTGTTTAGCAGGAGCTCGCTGGCTGTCAAGTTCCTAGTTTCCTGACTGAGAGGCCTGAAAGATTCAGTGAGGTCAACACTTTTTTCTTCATCAATTTCTCTGATTTCAAGTGAGGGGCATTCTGGGTATTCTTCATCTTCCTCTTCATCCTGGTACTGGGGTTTCTCTTCTCTCTCAACCCCATAATTCTCCTCTTGCTCTGCCTCCTTTTCCTGCTCCTCTTGTTTCTCTTGTTCCTGCTCAGATTTCTTCTCATCATCTGAATCCACATGTTGACCCACGTATCCACTGTGGATTTCCTTTTGATGAAATCCATCTTCACAGCTTTGAGGAGAAAGAAAACATTGCATATTTACATGTAGTGACAAAAAGCGAAAAAGCATTTTATTATATTTGCCAAATCAGTGTGTGGTGATTTTGATTTTCTCAAATACCTTGGTGACAGTTCAATCTCAAATGAGGTCAGGTCGATGTTGGCTGTTTTCAGGAGTCTTCGTCTAAGTTTGTCAGAGGTAGGAGCCACAACAGGAGGATCATCCAGCTCCTCCTGAGTCGGCTGCCTGGAGCAAAGCATGGTCTCATCTGTCATACAGCTGGGGGGGGGGAGGAGAGAGAGGGAGAATAGATCAGCCAATGTGGTTAGGATAAATTAGGAAAGTTAGTAGAAAGGGTTCCCAAGATGAGGAGCAGGGGACCCTGTATGTGATGAGATATTGCAGAAGCTAAATTAATTTAAATTTTATTTTTTTAATTTTTGTTATACTAATGTGTATGTACAAAAGAGGGGCACGTCCGAAAAAGTCTGAGTTTATGCTATGTTTGTGTTTAAACAAAGTCTGGCCTGAACAGCTTACCTGGAAACACTGCTGCCCCATGATGCCTTAGACGCCTGGTTCTTTAACATGGCGTATGCATGACGTGAGGAAGCAGCATTAGGTGGAGTAGAGACCCGAGGTGAGAGGTCATCCAAGTATTCCAGAGACACGTGTGTGTTCTGACGAGACATCCAGGTTTCATAAAACTGCTTCACACTCTCCTGACTGACTTCTTTACCCTGGAGAAGAAGACGAATGATGAAACAAAGACAGCGCAGGAAGAACTGAGGCTTTAAGCACATCATAGAACATAGAGATGGTTTGTACCATTATTTTAATATTGTTTATTATTGCAGAAATCAAACCTGCTTCTAAATTAAAAAGGTAATTAATGACTTGACCTGTAATTTTTAAGGCATTGATAGTTGTAGTTTGTAAAGCACATTTATATTTGGGAATACACTGGGGTTTTGACATCTCGTGGCCCCACCTTCTTCTGCTGCTGGTTGAGAAGCGACCGTTCAAAGCGCAGCACTTTGGAAATGTTCAGACTGTTTTTGCAGAATGAGTTCAAACCCTGTGTCACATCGTCGAGGAGAGACTGAACAAACACAAAGCTAAACTTGAGCGTGCTGATGACACGCTGCAGGATGTTCTCTGTGGGGACGGAGAGAGAACACATGATCAGATCCACAAGTTTGATACAGTTTAAAATGAACAAACTCGTAAACAAAACTAGTTTCTACGATGGACTGTAGTCCAGTGTGTAGTTTACCTCTTTCCTCCTCTGCCTCTCCATCCACTGTGCTTTCCTCCAGTTCATCCTCACTAGACTCTGCCCTGTCCATGCCTGGAAAAGCATCAAGTGGTGGTTAAAACACCAGCAGCTTTTACAGCATACAGCAGCAGAACCCTGTTTCTGACAAGTTAGAACTCATGTCTGCAAGAAGAACAAAACAAGCTGAGCTCCGTATTTGAGGCAACAACAGAGGCAGACTAAACTAAACAATCAGAGCGAGGGTGGAACCAGTGGTGCCTTCATTGCTGTAGGACAAAACTGTATTACTCTGGCCTCTTCACTGCAAATGTCACTACTGTAAGTGTTGAAACTACACAGTTGATTTTCACCCATTGTGAACTTGAGTGCATGATTCCAGTGGAGAGCGACTGACTCTCAAATGAAAAAAAAGTCAACGTGTGTCAACTTGGTCGGTACCTTAAAATGAACACATTTAAAGACACAACATCAGCACAACATCACCCACACTCTCCACTTCTCTCACTCTGCTGTCTTCGTAATTCTTTCTTCACTTTCTTCTTCTCCTCTTTCTTCAGTCTCTGTTTATCCATCTTCAGATCCTTCAGCGCAGACTTAGAGCTGGTGACCCAGGCATCATAGGCCAGCTGGAGTTACACAGACACACATGTAAGTCATTGTTACCATTTAGAGCTTTATAACATAATATTATACAACGATACTTATATTGTATTTGTGGATTTTTGTTACCTGGAAAGCAGATTTCTTCTTTGGTGGTTCTTCCTCTTCGTCCTTCTTTTCATTGTCTTCTTCCTCTTCCTCCTCTGTGTCACTCTCAAAGAGGTGGTAGCCACAGTTGTTTTCCACTGAATTGCACAGGTAAGAGTAAGAATTACTTGTGAAAAACTATTTGTGAGCCATCTGAGAGCAGAGAACATTTTTGTTTCTCACCTCCAGGCTGAGAGACCCAGGGTTTCCACCACTTTCCTGCATCTTTCTTGGCCTTCTCATCGTCACCTGAGAAACAGGGGTTACTCTGATCAGGGCTCCTTTTGTCTTTGTATCTTTTAACGTCAGTGAATAGAATACAGAAGACAGAGAACCGTCTGTTGTGTGTTACCCAGTGTCGTCTGCTCCTGATCAGGAGTTAAAGATTTCTTCTCCGGTTCAGGATGACCCTTCTGTTTAGATTTGATCTTCTCCATCCTATAAGAAGAATAAAAAAAGAAGTTCAGGGAATTGAAAGAATAATTTGTTTGGTAATGTTAAATCAATCTTCAGTAAAATAATAATAATAATAAAACTGATGAGACTTACTGTTTTTTCAGAGCCTCCACCGACTTCTTCTCCATCTCCAGTCGAGCTGCCACCAGTTTCTTCACCTTGGCCTCAAACAGCTCAGCACCTCTTAAGAGATTATAGAGAAATAACATTTGAGAGGCTCCTGTAGAAACGAAGGTGTACTATATTGGAACATACTGTTTGATCGCCTTTGTTACAAGTAAACTAAATATTAATTTGAATTTATCTATAGCCCTGAAATGTTTTTAAATAGACCGAAACACAAAGGAAGGACACTGAAAGTGTCAGATGTTCATCCCTGTCATTTCAACACTGTTCTAATAGAAGCATATGAAGTGGAGTTCAAACCTGGATGCCAAAATCTTAGAAGATTTCAGGTCGGACACCACGTAAAGGAAGTAGTAGCTGAGAAAGACTCTCCTCTGAGCCAGAAGGACAGTGAAACAAATGGCATCCCACACGATGCCAGCCTCACCCTCTGGCAGCTCACACTCGTCATCAGGATCAGCTGACCAACAAGACAGACAATACAATGAACAGCATATAAATACATCA